TGCAATTCCTGTAGAACATAAACGGGCACCTCGGAAAGCGGACGTTACCTGATTTATATGCTCCTTGCATTTTGTGGAAAGTGATTACATTGAGCTCGCAGGTGTCAAAACGGAAATCCCATACCATTTAATTCAGCGAAGTATCGTCCACAACATTAGTTTGTTATTTTTTTGTTTGTTTCTTCAGTGATGATTGTAAAAAGAAATATATATGTAAACATCGGAAAATGTTTGTAAAAAAAAAAAAAAAGTTTCACGGGGGATCGAACCCGGTCCTACCGCGTGTGAACCGGACGTCTTTCCCACTGAGCTACTGGGGCATCGCTATTCTGGTGGATCTCTTTCCTTAGTAATAATTCAGCCGGTAAACTGTAAGTTAGAAAGTTTGCTGTCGATTTTTCTCTAGCAAAAGCACTCCCGGGTCGAAGTCGGGAAACACCACACTTTGGGGACATTCGCACCTAGTAAAGAAATCGTACGCGTGCATATTCAACTCGAAGTAGACACGTCGTGCTTGACGTTTGCGCGAGCGATGTCTTCAGCCACGAGAAGGGAGCGACGGCTCGGCGACGCGTCTTCGTGCAAATCGGCTTGGTGGCCGGGCGTGTCGTACGGGATGAATACCAATTCTTTTGATCAGTCCCAAATTTCTCTTTTAACGGTAGACAGAATTCGCCGGCACCGCGAACGACAGTTCTGAAATAGAGGTCCCACACCCGTCGTCCGCTGCCATCGCCGTCCCCGCGAGCCCCACGATACGCGAAACGACGAACGCACAGAATGTTTCCGGTTGTCTGTGGAACTTTTTTTTTCAATCAACGTACTTACAGCTTTTTAGAAGCCACAAAAAATGGGTTTCATATTTTTTTCTATTTTTAATATTGAGTGTGTGCCGTCAGTGACCCACGACTTTGATTAAATTTGGTGGTCGCATCGATACCTTAGAAAACGGCCCGTGACCGCGAAAAAGAGAGTGAGCGAGACTCAAACCGGCCAGTTCTTGATCGGCGGTTTTCGGGCGGAAAGAAACCGAATTTCGAGCCGCAAATTCTGTTCTGGGTAGTTGAGCTCTCATATGTCACGTACAACTAAAAAACTCAGCGAGCATAAATACCCTGTCAGTGTCCCTTTAATCTCTCTACCCCAGGTCAAAAAGCTGGATGATTAAAATAGAATACCCAGCGCTTCACCCCACTACATCATCTATCACGGCGAGGAGGGTGAATTTTTTTAATGATTCGGACAAATAAAACTGAGAAAGGAATGTCTCGTCAAATTGAAAATAGAAAAGCGAAATTCGAGAACCTCACGGGCGTGTAGTAAACACTTCAGTGAAAACGACTCCGTACGTGTATCCTGTTGGCTGCGGCGTGTTTTGTGAGTGCTGGTTTCTTATTAGTTTCAAGCTGATCTTTCTTTTTTTTAAAGCAGTAAACAAACTTCTTTTTTTTTTTAATACCTGGCAGAAAAAAGCGAAACGTGCGAGGCCCCCTCGCGATCGAAGTCTTAAATCTAGTAATTCGGCGACACTTCATCGTCCCAAAAAATGAGCTATAGGTGACATTCACTTGACGTCACTCGCTAGGTTCGCTGCCATCGCCCACCGCGGTCGCCATCTTCGAGGTCTCTTGCTATCGCGAATGCCATCTGGCCGGACCTTTTGAGCGTGGTTTAGCAGTATTTTACAACTTTAAAGGGTCTTTTTGATCGAAACTAGGGGTTATTCTTATACTTTGGTACTTCTGAAGCGTTGTGGGAGTATTTTTTGTGTGTTTTAGTTTGTTTTTGTCGCAATCGGACTCGTTTACCGCGGCCGCGTTGCTCCCTCGGCTCCATGAAGCGCTCCGTGTCGCCCGCCGTGCCGACGGCGGTAGCTCTTGCAAGAACTATTTTTTCTACTTTGGTGCTTTTGCAGCACGGTGTGATGACTCCTTGTTTTGTTTTGCTAGTTTCATTATTGTTTTTCTCTAGCTGATTTTCTGTACTACGGCCGTGTAACCGTGTGGCTCCATCGCCGCTGTGTCGTACATATACGTCGTGCCTTCGGTGTTCGTTCCTGTGCAGAAACATACCGTGCGGCTCACAGGGTGCGCAGCTTATAAAAAATGCGGCGCATTTTCATTAGCCCAAGCGATTTAAAAACCGCATTTAAGCGATTTGGCGAGCGGGAAGACAAGCGACGGCGACCCGCTTCGCTGCCGCTCGGTCACTCGCGCGACGGGGCAAACCGCATGAAAGCGACGGGAGGACACGACCAAGGCGAGGAACGCTAAGTTTTCTAGAAATCCCAAAACCGAGCTACGCGACGAGTGACAGTGAAGGGTGAACCGCATGTAAGCGATTTAGCGAGCGATGGCGACGAGCGACGGGAGTCGGCGACGAGCGACGGGGGTCGGCGACGAGCGACGGAGATTTCTCGCGGTCGGTAGTCGCGTCGCTTGGCTTTTGGATTTCTAGAAAAGGTCGCTTATCGCCTTGGTCGCATGCTCCCGTCGCTTTCATGCGGTTTGCCACGTCGCGCGAGTGACCGAGCGACAGCGAAGCGGGTCGTCGTCACTTGTCTCGTCGCTCGCCAAATTGCTTACATGCGGTTCAGCCTTTACACACGGTACTTGGCGGCAACAAGGAAAACGGCCCGCCCCCGAGACCAAATTTTCTTCTCTCTTCTGTTCAACGAAGCTTCAACGATAGGAAATTAGCACACACTAGCAGCGGACGCTCGCGTAGCGTACCCAAGCCAGTCAAACCGAGACCTCGAAGATGGCGGATCGACGGTGGCGCTCCCTGGCAAAATCGAACCTGCAGGCTCAGTGAATACCACCTATACAACTGCTATGAATTACTACTTGCGAACTCATATGCGCATAACACGTGATGCGCTTTTCAGCGAGCGATTTCAATTTTGTGAACAATTGTTAGTGAAAATTGGATAGAACAACTTAATCAATCGCCTGAATTTGCCGGGCCATGTCCGGCAATTCAAGAATTTATGAAAATGTCTGCTTTTCTTGTGAGCAGAAGTCGCGATGCGACAAACTTCTTCGCCACGTATTCGATTTGGGAGGAGCTAAGCGTCAGTCGCTGACGAGTATTTGCTCGACAGCAACTATCCAGTCAAACTTGGATAGAAGCGTCGGTATTGGGCAAGCTCAACGTATAGCTAAAACAAGTGTGCGGCGCTTTCCAACACAACTGTGAGCGCTTGCACAGCTAAGAAGACAGCAAGTGATTCACTCTGGCGAATGCAAAACGTTTTTTTTTTCTTTACAACAACCTCCACAAATAATAATAAAAAAAAAAAAAACAGATTAAAGAAGGTGTGAATAGCCCTGACGCACGCTGCGCAAGCCGTAATGTGAAGCTCCAGGCTTCACACTAAGGCTTGATCACTCACAAAAAAATGGAAGACGTTTACAAATCGCTGTAATGCGAAATTAGAGCGCAGCTCTTGAGGAGGAGGAGGGTACGGAGGGGAGGGTAATAATTAAAGATGCTCTTTTTCAAGGCGTGCTGAAGATGGACAAAACCTGAAAATGGATCACATTCCACAATTAATTTCTTACTATATCAAAACAATAAAACATACAATTTGTATCGTCTGGGAGGCACTTACATGCCATCAATTTAAATGTCATATTTCAGAAATTCAACTAGGAAACAAAATCAGAAGGCATGGGCGAAATTGTCGGCAACATTAGGCACGTTGGGGACTTTTTACCAAATGATATAGGCTATATTAAACAATATTTAAAAGCCTCTTTGACTAGATAAATGTGTCCGATCACACACATGCATATGTCTTTTAGTGCCATTTCACCAAATACGTCTTTAGATAATTTTACAAATTACGTTTATTTTAAACGTGAATTTTTTTTTTTTTTACTCATTATAACTATATATTCTTCCAATCTGTGTTGTGCCCGTAGTATATTCACGAACGTGCCTCATATCGAGACGTCGATCGTTACGAGGAACGGAGAAATAAAGTATTCTTTTCATCTTTATCATATATACAATATACTTGGATTCCAATAAAAAAAAAGTATTGGGGGTCCAGCTGCAAACAGTTTGCGATCGCGCGCGATTCAAAGATGTCATCGACGACAATCGTAAAAACCAAGTTGTCCTTCCCCTATCCTTTCGAATTTTATTTCTTTAAAACTACGCGTGTCTGAACTTCCAAATAAGAAGCGTTGCTTTTTGTGCAGTATATGCCATACAATATAAACTTTTGAAGAAAAGTAAAACAACAAAAAAATATGGGTGTACTTCACTAGTTGAATTTAAATGAAACCGCCATTTTTTTTTTTTTTTTTTCCATATACCGGACGCGTGGTCGTACATCATTTCACCCTGGAGTGTTTTCGCCTTAACACGAGGCTGCGTTGCCGCGAAGCAACGTACACAACATAACCCCCTACTCCGCGGGCATAGCTTCTCTGCAGCGCACCAGTGCGCGGTGGGAAGCGCACTCAACGGAGCCACTTAAACCGTCCGACCAGACCACGGACAATAAGAAATATCGCGACACTTCCGAAAACTGACTCATGTTTAATACGAACATACAATAAAAGTTCTGAAAATTGGTGCAAGCTTACCGTAACAATCCAGCAGTGTAGCGACGCCTCAACTCTTCGTTTTGTGTGTTGATAAAGCGAAACAGACTTTTGGCGCAATGTTGGCGAAAATTAGTCACACTTTGGTGAAATGTAGCAGGATGTAGCAGGGTAAGCACTATGGCGAGGCAATCACAGCGCTGGGAATTCAACCTCACAGCGTTTCTGGCATACTCCATGTGACATTCAATGATTACTAGTGCAATTATTTAGAGGAGAAAAAAATGCAAACCAAAACTTCCATGTTTCTACTCCTTTAAAGAAAGGTGCTTGCCTCTCGCTCGGAGATGCGGACAAAAACTTCGAGACGATCTAAACTGAGGGTACCTGACTGGAACCGAAAGTAGATAAACAAAACACATAGTCATAACGACAAAAAAGAAATGTGATCAGTCAAAAAACATATTTTTATTAACAGAAAATATAAATGAGAATATGACTCCGCTATGAGCAGATACGCAAAAAGCAACATCAAATAAATAACATGCCCTAGCCCCTTACTTATGAACATAGAGTATATGCTAACTCACTGCCTAAAACAATTACTAGTGGGGCCTGCAAAGAATAGATGGGTTCAAAAAGGGCTTTGTCACCATAGCCTCCATAAAAACAGCTGATGATAACTTATCTTTCCTAGTAGTTTTAAGTCAGGAATGACAGCATTATTAGATTAGACCTACTATTTGGGTTCTGACAGAAAATAGTATACGCATCTGAGGTAATACAGCATAAAAGGATAGCCTAACCCCTACCTTCCCGATGTATTTTCAGACAGCCCTGAGATTCCTTTGCTGAGGATTGGAATGATGTAGAGGGATGCTTTTCTACTCATGAAACAGCAGCCTTTCCAATTATGCTGAGCACCCCTGCTGCTACATGTAAAAGCTTTTTGCCTGATCCCGCAAAGGTCATTATGGCAAAATCCCACATCACCTGGTGATACTAGTTACAAAAATGGAGAGGGGAAGGAAATTGGCTCAGATAGGTAAGGGAAGGATTTGGGTAAATTTTTGGTTTTATAACAGGTACAGCTATTCACAGCCATCCATCGAACCTTTTTGTTACATGCGAAACCACTTTCATCATTCACCATGCAACATATCAGTCAAAACAACCAAGAGTTGAGATCGTTTGTCCCATAATGGCAGTGGTGACCCAGTTAACACGCTCCACTCAACTGGACTTCCGTTTTTTTTTGAAAATATTAACGAGTGAACAATAAAATGCTAGCACCTCCTGCAGGGAGCAATGATAAAACCACCACAGATCACTCTTTCATCTTAGTTTATGGCAATAATTTGACAACGAATTGAGCTAACGTTTATTTTAAGTTGGTTCCCATTATTTTTCCTGCCTTTGACACCAATTAGGTATGTCCCTTGGATGCCACAGTTCTCAAACTAATAGTAAACCTTATGTATTCTTAACATACAATTTAAGGCCTCGTCTAGACTTCACACATAGCTAAAGCTTAAGACGTAGCATCAAGATAAAACTGAATAAAATGACTGCATCGGCAACCCTCCCCCCCCCCCCCCCCCCCCCCCCACCTTCTAGAGATAACCGATGAAGCAAATGCATCCCCATCCTTGAAAACCGGCTTTCACATCCCTGTGCCGTTAGATGTACTGAACAGTGATCCACTATAATCTGTTGCAAGTAAATAGGACGACAAGCACCTCCCAAAGCCCTCCCCCTTTTCCATTTCCGCAGAGCATACACAGGAGGGGAGGAAACTGCAAATCATGGCAACCGAGAGAGCTTTATAAGAGGGGCTATACCGTTATACCTATACCACTATGCCGACGAAAAAGAAATGCCCATCAAACGACTGTTCGCGCCTCTGCTGCCGCACGTGAAAGCAGACATGCATCTCAGAAAGGTCTAAGTAAGGGTGTGCCAGTAAAACCGGCTCGCAAAAACAAGCTCAGCTTTCTTTGGCCTTAGCCGGGTTTAGCCGGGAGCTGTTGGCCTCGTTGTAAGCAATGAAGTGACGGACTTCGACGGGCACCTCCTTCGGGCAGACCGAAGGGTCCAAGTTCATGGCCCTGAGGACGTCTTCGACCGTTCCCTTGGTCATGGTGAGCTTCACCATGCATGTCGCGCGGACAAAGTTGTCGCTTGTAGTCACAAGCTGATGCTCCACGTAGAGGTCCCTGCCCTCGATGAAGACAACCTGGTGGACAGAAAAAAAGAGGTTGCTCAATCGATTACCATTAGGGTTTCGTGTTTCCGGGGTTTATGTTTCTGCGAATTCGGAGGTGTGTTTTTGGGGCTTATTCTTTTCCGTAGATTCAATATTTTTCGGCGTTGGACAAAAAAGAAGTTGGCATTCAGTGGGGCCTTTTGTTGAAACAAATGGGACACGGGCATGGGAATCCCCGACCTCCAGGGAATAGGGCATGACCCAAATGCTTCGAAAATGTCCCGATACTGGTAAGAGAAGGAAACAAGGCGAGGAACGCGATTCCGAAGAATGTAGCAGCCTCGCGGACAATCGAGTGTTCCAGACTAACACAAAATGAAACGGTAAACAGCAATTTTCTTCCCTTGAAACTTGGGCTTTCCTTATGCAAGGACAGCACCAATTCGAGGTTTTTTCGGTTTTCCCCGATTTTGATGAAACTGTCTCGGGGCTTATTGGCATTTACCGAAAACACGAGACCCTAGTTACATTTTTAAACTTCGCAAGAACTGGCATTGCCCCAATGTAAAACTTCAGTGTGAACTGGAGTTTGACATTTGTGACGGAGGAAATCAATTTCTTTGGAAAAATTTGGGAAACATGTTTTGGTTATAGGAAAATGTGTTTTCTTAATTCCTCCATTATAGTGTCTTCTGAATCTTCGTCCCAACTGTTCAAGCGGCGAGTGTGGTCTCTACATGAAAACATTTACAGGGTTTTAGTTCAAAATTGAAAGGCAAAGAGGATTACAGCTGGAACGAAGTACTCACGAAATAAAGTGTGACACATTGATAGGATGCAGCATAACTAATTGCTTTAAGACCCAGGTATGTTTCAACACCTGCAGTTTGTGCATGCTTAAGCCCCTTGGTTAGAGCTGTTTATTTTTGGCTTCACTTAAAACCCTGAAATTGCACATATGAAGATATCTCTAGTAACCCTGAAAGGCAGGAACAATAACAAAAAAATGGACATAACAACGAAAACTCTAACACAGCTTGAAATTTATTTAACAACCATCACCTTATATACATGTCCCAGACCTCTTTCACAATTCAAACAGCCTCCTCACCCACTACACAGTGTACCCTAACTTTCAACCAATACCGACAACTGCACACAAACCCAAACCACAAAAGCATACAAGGCTCGAGCACAAAAAAACACAAACCCAAACACAAAAGAACAAACAAAAAAAGAGAGAGAGAGGATTGCAAGAAATTCCCGCACTTGGCAAGGTCAGACTGTGAACCCTGCACCACTACAAACCTAGAAACTTTTCGTTCCCTCATCAAGAGATAAGGAAAGTTGACCGAGACAATTCCTGGAGCTTAAAAAACAGTTTCTCTTAAAACTCTCCTATTGCTATCCTTCACTCTATGTAATAGACTTCAGTGCCCTCCCACTCGGGTACACAGTTGTTGCATTCGTCTACATGTTTTGCAATTTCGGAGTTTGGTGCATTATTTCCAGCCACCCTTTTATGCTCCAAAATACAATCGTTTCAGCAACCACCAGTCTGTCCTACGTAGGAAAAACTGCACAGCAAAGGAATATTATACATAACCTCTTCCTGACAAGGAAGAGGTTGTGTACCTTCCCAGAATGGATTTATTAAGACATTCACTTCCCTTTTATCAAATTTTTAAATTAAAAGTCACATATTTTTTAGTTTCACTTAAAACCCTGATAGTGAGTGCACATCTAGAGGTGCCGTTACAACAAAAGAGTTGACTTTGTGTTCACTGAATTGATTACAAAGGAAAACATCTCTAGATAAGCACATTGTTTTGCTTCCGTCATGTAAGCTCTCAGTGTCTGCATCTGACTCTCCAATTTTCCCTCCTTCTTAAACCTCATTCACACCCGAGAAGAACTCTCTTGGCACCAGCCGAATTTGCTAGGCGGAAGGCAATGCCGGTCACATTTGTTGCTGCCTGCCGAATTCGTGTGGCTCCTATCTCTCGTGGACACCAGAAAAGACCGTCTCGTGCAGTCTTCGAAAAACCACTCTCACAGGCTTCCTCTTGCAGTCGACGCTTTACTGTTATGCGATATAAAACAGCTAACAGCCCACAGCACCGAGAGAACACCAGACACTCTCTCTCAGCAATACCAGAATGCAATAATAAGACAATGAGCAACTGGAGACAACATACGTGTGTGTGCTGTTCACATCGATTGCATTCAACAGATCTTTGTCGGCATCGCCTTCATTGTTCAAATGCCTCTCGTCGAAGGAGGTCCTAATGAGTATTTCTGCCGAGACAATGGTACGAGCGAGGCAACGCTTTTGCGCAACTCGGGAACTCCGACAACTCGAACGACACGGCTAGGATGCGACGTCGGCCGATGCTGTTGCCTTTCATGAACATCACCCAGGATCCCAACGCCCGACAACGTCACAGGTCGGCTCCTGCAACATGATTTGTTGCCCCTCCAACAGGGGCTGATCCAGAACTCCGTTTTAGAGGGGGCGGAAAATTTGTAAAAATGATATTCTCCCATTCTTTCGTGTACACTAGGTGGGCCACCCATGTCAAATTGCCCCCCGAGAAAGGGGGACGGGACGGGGCGGGGGGGGGGGGGGGGGGGGGGGGTCGACTTTGTTTAGGGGGGCGGCCGCCCCCATTGCCCCCCCCTTGGATCTGCGCCTGCAAGACCACTCGTGATGCGGGCGGTGCGGGATCCGCTGAGCGCACCGGTCGAGCACGAGTTCCTGGCGTTGTAGTCGTAACAAACATGTCGCGCCGAAGGCGACTGCATACCTTTGTGGTGATCCGGTACCATTGGAAGACGGTTAGCGGTTTCCGGTACCGCACGGCCTGGGAGGCGATCAGCATCTTTGCGTCGAGCTTTCTCGCCGTGGCCCACAGCTTGTTCTTGAGGCCAAACACCGCCCTTGCGAATTCGAACGCGCGGAGGTACTTGGCGTTGTTCATGTGCCACAGGTGGTCGATGTCGCTTGGAAACGAGATCCCTGTTGAGCGAAGAATGAACATCGACGATGCAACTTTAGTGAAATTGCCACTCTGAGGCTTTCTAGGTTTCTTCTAGGGCTGGACACTTGATCCATTAACCTACCGATTAATCCACAAATGCCTTAATCACAATTAATTTTTTATTCGGTTAATCAATTATATTTTGACTAACAAGAAAAAAAGAGAAAAAATTCAACGCTTTCCTTAGACGGCAGGGTGACCCAAATGGCATGAGCTTTCCACGTAGTGCGTATAGCCATTTCCAGTCGAGGTGCACGACGTTCCTTTTCCAAACCTCAACTTTAGCTGCCAGATTCGGATAATTTGAAAGCCCTTACCGGTATAACAGTCGGGGTCGAAAAGGGAGCAGCGCGCAGTCCTTCTCCATTTCAGTGCGTACGCGGTGATCAAAATGATGCTCCAAATGAAATAGTTGACGTCCACAATCGCGTAAAGCAGGAACAAGACGCCGACGATCCAGTGCATTTTGGCAAGAACTTGCGGACCGATGTCGGGCGTTCTAGCTACGGGCCCAAAAAATGGGTTTCTTATCTGCTGCGGCTTTGAAACGGGATTCGACCGTACAACTCCGCTGCCGGCTTAGAATGCACTGCCTCGCTAGCCGCAGGTGACTTCCTTTTAGCGTTTCTTGCCATTCATTCATCCTAGGTCGATTTCGTTGAATTTCGTAATTTCGTCAATTTTGCCGTGGCTACCGAGGGCCGCCTTGCGGGAACACCAAGCACTACCGAATCTGTTTTATTCACTTCAGAAAAGAAAGATATATATATATATATATATTTATAATACAAATATAAATAGAATCACAGAGTGTTTAAAAAACAAAAACGTGTGGATGGGTAAAGGCAAAATAAAATAGTTTCGCTAAACCTGGCGCGATTTAAGTTCAATTAGTACGTGAAGTTAACGTCTCCAATAGATAACATTAGCTGCCCAACTCTTTGCATCATGCGGTAGCTTACGCCACCTAGTCCCAAGTACGTGCACCATTTAATTTTAATTTTTCTTTTCCGTGCGGTAAATGTTAATGTGTGGTTCGTTTATTTAAAAATATATATACATAATAGTGCGGACTTTATTTTATTTCGTTGAAAGTTTCGTCCGCTTTCTGACATGTTTACTCGCGTTGCGGCAACACGGCACATACCAAGTAAAGGAAGTAAAGGTCCGGGACACAGTGGCGCCATCTATTGGGTAGCAGTGTAAACTTGGCGGTCCCGCACACGAGTTGGTCGTGGCCCCGCATATTACTATTTCTCTCGCGCATTATGCTTTCTTTCTTGGCTCGAAAATCTTTTGTCAACGTTATAAACGAGCCTTTCTTATAACTATTACGCACATCTGACCCCGGAAATCCGACAAAATCTTCACTCTTCTGAAATGCAGTTCCAGGGTCATCGCATAGACTGCGACAGCGTGTCAGTATGTTCTCTCGTCCTAAGAAATTTTAACAGGTTTTAACAAGTCTCATCTCTTTCAGTCGTACTCGGTTGCAAGAGTGTGAATGGGCTTTAAGGCTTTTCAACTCCTCCGGTGACGTCATAGAGATTAGGTAATCGGGCTCGTCGGCGTACAGGGGGCTGCCCTGCCACCACAAAGCACAGACCGAAACGGGTAAAGCACTGGATAATACTATTTCCAGTGCTTTATGCACGGGGAGCTTCGAATAACTTTAGCGGTTGGGAAGGCGGTTGAAACAGGTCGTTACCACTTGCAAAGGGTGTTTGCTTCATGCATATCTTCGAACATGTCTGGGCTCTGCAGAGTTTTTGTATTATGATCAACGTGGACAGGACCATCACACAAGAAAAAAACACGCCCCGGACGGTGCCTGCAAACTATACTGCAGTGGGACTTGTATTAATCGAGCGAGAAAATGTATTGTTTCTTGTCGTACGCTAATTTGATCTTACAAAATTTTAGCCATACCGTAATACCCCTCGTTTCGGCACAATTCGCTATTCTTTCAAAAACACCGAAAGATAACCCACCCCTTGTAATTGCGGGGCTCTTGCACATGGTGACCTTGGCAGAATTGGTGCTACTCGGTCACAGCGGGGGATAAGCGAACATTGAAACTAAGAAGGGCAGTTTTTTTTTTTTTTCTGTTTTATTGCCCCTTAAAGGACACATGCAAAGGAAAAAAACATTTGTTTTAAACGGCTTAGATGGAAAAAGGACGCCATAAAACGATTTTACAACGAAGAAAAAAAATTTTTTGAGCTATATTTACGGCGCAAAACGAATTTGTAGTTGGCGCCCGCGGGCACCGCGGAAAAGTGGTCTGTATTTATCACGTGACTGGTCTTTAATTATCACGTGGTGCTTGCGCTCTTTCGGAAGCTTCCTATGGCCTCTAAAAGTAACTTATTCATCTTTGTTTGAAGTATAACAAAAAACCAAGACGAATAACTAACTTTTAGAGCCCAAAGGAAACTCCTGAAAAAGCGCAAGCAGACGTGATAGACCTGTGCGCCGGTCAGACGACGGCGGCGGCGCCCCGAAGCAGACGAACTTGTGCGGCGGCGGCGACGGCGGCTTGGAGAAACGCGTTGAAGCGGCGTTCGCACAACGCTCAGCGTGCGGCGGCGACGCAGCGCGGCGGCGCGCGGGCCTACCACGTGACTAGCGGCGGCTCCCGCGAGCGCCAACTACAAATTCGTATAGCGCCGTAAATATAGCTCTAAAAATTTTGTTTCTTCGTTGTAAAATCGTTTTATGACATCCTTTTTCCATCTAAGCTGTCTAAAAAAAATTTTTTTTTCCTTTGCATGTGTCCTTTAAAGGGACACTGACACCCCCCAAAATTTTTTTTTAATTTTTTGCCAGGCGCTTCATTATGGTGTCGGAGGACTACCCAATTAATATTTTGCAACAGAGTAGCGTATTTTTTTAATAAAGCCAAAAGACGCAACTGCTCGAAACCGAAACCCGACGGAGGTCGGAGAAGTGGAGAGAAGAGAGCGAGTGGCGGAAGTCACGTGGCTACACCCGACCGTGTGTTTTTTTTTTTTTTTTTCTCCTTCCCGGTAGCAGACGACATGCGGCGTACGGGAACTGTTCGCCGTGGGATTCTTTTGCAGTTATGTATGTTCCGCTCGTTGTTCTGTACTCCAAGATGAGTTGTTTTGTACATTGAGGAGTTGGAGATGAGTAGTGAGTGCCCGTGGTGAATTTTGATCGGCTTCGAAAAGAATACACCCAAGATGTTGCGTGTGAAGAGCTGGCTCACATGTCCTGCGTCCGAAACAGAAGTGGCATTGTGCGACAGAGTTTCCGAAAGATCAACGGGATCGGGACCAATGGCTGGCTGCAATTCCTGTTGACCATTTACGGGCACCTCGGAAAGCGGACGCTTCCTGATTTATATGCTCCTTGCATTTTGTGGAAAGTGATTACATTGAGTTCGCAGGTGTCAAAAAGGAAATCCCATACCATTTAGTTCAGCGACGTGTCGTCCACAACATTTGTTTCTTATTTTTTAGTTTCTTCAGTGATAAATGTAAAAAAAAAAAAGAAATGTAGACATAAAAAAACATATGGAAAAAAAAAAAAAGTTTCACGGGGGATTGAACCCTGTACTAAGGCGTGTGAAGCGGACGTCTTTCCCACTAAGCTACTGGGGCATACCGAAACTAAGGGGTCTCTTTCCTTAGTAATAAATCAGCCGATAAACTGTAAGTTGGATGCTGCCGATTTTCCTCTAGCAAAAGCACTCCCGGGTCGAAGTCGGGATGCACCACGCATTGGCGACATTCTCACCTTGTAAAGAAATCGTACGCGTGCATATTCAACTCGAAGTAGACACGTCGTGCTTGACGTTTGCGCGAGCGATGTCTTCAGCCACGAGAAGGGAGCGACGGCTCGGCGACGTCTTCGTGCAAATCGGCTTAGTGGTCGGGCGTGTCGTACGGGATGAATACCAATTCTTTTAATCAGTCCCAAATTTCTCTTTTAAAGGCAGACAGAATTCGCCGGTACCGCGAACGACAGTTCTGAAATAGAGGTCCCACGCCCGTCGTCCGCTGCCATCGCCGTCCCCGCGAGTCTCACGATACGCGAAACGACGCACGCACAGAATGCTTCCGGTTGTCTGTGAAACTTTTTTTTCAATCAACGTATTTGCAGCTTTTTAGAAGCCACAAAAAATGGGTTTCATATTTTTTTTTCTATTTTTAATATTGAGTGTGTGCCTTCAGTGACCCACGACTTTGATTAAATTTGGTGGTCGCATCGATACCTTAGAAAACGGCCCGTGACCTCGAAAAAGAGAGTGAGCGAGACTCGAACCGGCCAGTTCTTGATCGGCGGTTTTCGGGCGGAAAGAAACCGAATTTCGAGCCGCAAATTCTGTTCTGGGTAGTTGAGCTCTCATATGTCACGTACAACTAAAAACCTCGGCGTGCATAAATGCCCTGTCAGTGTCCCTTTAATGTGAAAACAAGCTTGGCAGGTCACAAAATGTAAAAATAGCATTCTTGAAAAATTTTATTCAGTTCATACCGAAAGTTCATTCCCCTCCTCATGATCACCCAATTCGCTCTCACTTTTAGGTGGGCTATCTCTTGGGACTCCTAGAGCCTATAGCCTTAACCTGTGAATCGCCTTACACTTGTCGTACCAAGTTCACTGCTGTAATTTTCTTAATACATAACGAGTAGCAAATCTTTGAACTCTCGAGTTTATCACCATCATGCAGTACTTGACTACCTGCTAGTAGGTTTCACATTGTATACTAGCACGTACGAGGACCAACCTAATCTAGCTATTATAGAGCGATTCCTGGTCATTTTGTGCAAATACGAGGGGTGATCAATAAATTTTGCCGTCTATGCAGTGACTTCTTTTATTCAGTCACGGAATTGAAAGATGTTACATTCGAATGAAAGTTTAAAATCTGGTCTTTGCCAGGAGCACATAACTTTTCAATATAGTCCCCATCGGCGGCAATGCATTTCCGCTACCGGTGCCCTACTCTTTGCATGCCGTCATAGATGACTGAAGGCGGCTGTTGACGACACCAACGGCGCACTGCATTGGTAACCTTGTTGTCGGACGCAAACCGTATACCTTTCAGATGTTCCTTTGTCTTGGAAAACAGCCCAGAAGTCATCGCGGCACACGCGCCGCCGCTCTCACTGTCATTGGCAAGAACTGCTGTCAAGTTGCTCGACGGTTCATAACTCTATCGCGAGGTGGCGCGACTTGTAGCGGCGATACAGAACGTTCTTGAGCAGCTGTTTCATATCGATCTCAAAGGGGGGCGCTCTCGCCGAAAGGGAGCTAAAGCCCCTCTATCCTGGCAAAAGTGGCGCCATTCTTTCTTGTGGAAATGCTCCAGACACGACTTCTGGGAAGAACATGGCGTCCGAGATCTAGCCCAGTGCTGCGCTGTGCCGCCATGATCTTACCAAGGGCTGCACGTTGCACATGCCTTGTGCATCGACGCACATTGCGCTACTTGTCTGACATGAAGGGGCTTTAAAGGGAACGGGAGAGGGAGCATTCGAGCCTGCTCATTTCGGAGGATACAGTCTTCCGATCGTAATTTTAAGCATTGAGCTCTTTTGGCCCAAAGGCGAAATAAATATGCTTTGAAAGTTGAAACCCAAGTCACGTCTTTACCAAAGGACGGCCATTTACAAGTGGTGGTGAAGAGTGTCTGAGGAGCTGTGTCTTTTGTCTTCTTCGCAGAGTTGAATAAGCTTCAAT